TATAGATATCATACATATATACCAACAAGACTGTACATCACTGTCACCACAGTGTATGTTTTCATTCAAAGGCTTTATGGATTTTCCTTTAATACCTGGTGGGCCGGTCTGTAGTCAAAATGCCCGGGCCGATTTTTTGTCCCAGTCCAGCCCTCGCAGACACTAATGTTTTTGTCAAACTCAAAGTAAGGGCAGTACGCTGCACGGTCGTACTCTCTCCATATTATCCATCTGCACACGTCTGTTACCATCATTGTCATGAGACACTCTCACAAACAAACTCATGACGGTTTAGTAACGCAGTAACGCAGCGTGCTTACGAGAAAGTAGCAGTAATCTAATTACTTTTTTGCAATAGTAATCCCTTACAGCAGTCCCCAACCTTTTTTGCGCCAAGGACCTGTTTATGTCCGACAATGTTTTCAGGGGCCGGCCTTTAAGGTGTCACAGATAAATACAACAAAATAAAACCAGTACCCAAAAAAGAAGATTTATTTATAACACAGGAAAAGACTGGCTGGGTGTCGTCACTGATTTCTAGAATTGATTCAATCCCGATTCAATTTGAATCGGGAAAATTTTGCCTCAGACAGTCAGAAATATTATAATTCAGATCATGCATCAGTACATTTCCATATTGTTGTAGATATAAAAAGAAAGCTGACACCTGCGAGACTTTATCAAAGGTGTGAGCATCACAGCAGATGCCTTTATGTCAAAGTAAGTGAGGATAAAACACAGAAAAACATGAAGGTGATTTTCCTGGACTGGGATTTTATAAAAATATTGTGCAGTAGATCAAAAACGAAAGAAAACACATGAACATTACCTCTGAAGTTACAGAGGTTTGATTAGAGACACAGCTGAGCGTCTTGCAATTTTGCATAATTTTAAAAAGTTTAAATTTGTTCAGTATTGAACGGCAGAAATCAGGTTTTCTTTTCAGAAGTAAGTAAAAGGAAAAAACAGCGGCTGACAGCCTGTAAACAACGGTAGAATGGTGCTTAATAAGCAAGCGAATAATGCAGAAAACAGATTTTTAGACGGGAAACTGTTCTTGAAGTACAGAGAGAGAGAGAGAGAGAGAGCTGTGCATGAAGTGTGATTTTATTGTGGTGGAAGCAAAACAGGAAAAGTCAGAGGGAATTCTTGACAATGTTTATGTGAAGCGTAGTTTGGATCTTCTTTTGCTGCTGGTTCGGTCAATATTGTTTGGTGAGAGATAAAACCTGCTGAATCAGTGCAAAAAGGACGTAACCACAAAGC